AAAGTTTATTTCATTCAAAATCATCTTTGACGCGTGATCCCGTGTCATCGCGAGATATCGTCACGTGATTTGGAGACATCACGTGCTGGTATTCAAGGGAGTTATCGAGTCTGGAGAATCTTATTTCAGTAGATCTATTACCAGAATTATTTAATTGAAAATCCTTGTAAGGACATCTTATCTAAAAGACGGCATTGATCTTTGTCATATGAACGGTTTGGGATTTAAACGAAACAATAAAATATCGCAATAAATGTGTATAATTTTATACACAGCTCATATTATGGTTCTTTCGATCAAATATCTGCTTTATACAACAGATGTATAGTAGTACATGATATCTATATCATTTGCTTATCTTTGTATATCTAAAATCATTCATCATAAGATGTCTTAAGAAAATTAAAAATAGATTTATAAATTCTCTTACGATTTAATTTGTTTATTTAATCAAACTTGGATTAATTTGATATTAATTATTTTCTTGATATGTTTCCAAAAACGACGGGATGTTGACGGGATGTTTTAACTTTGTGGAAAACATTGGGAAATGTCTGTAATGATCACAATACTCCATACAGCTGTTCCACTACGTTTCTGCTGTCACTATGACTACAATGTAAGTAAAACCGGTGAAACTCTATCTATCAACAAACAACACTTTTTAGCTTGATACGACCAATTTGATTTTATTAGTATATACTGTACATATGATATGATCTAGCGGGGTTGTGAGAGACTAAAGTGTCCATTGTGATGTCATATTATTATGACGTCAAATGTATTATTACGCCACAAAGAAGCGTAGATATCGCCAATTAAGATTTTATATAGGCTGTTCTTAAAAAATATATGAAAAAATACTGACGTTCTGTGATAAACAGTTTCCTTAAGGAGTGTAAAAACATTTTCTAGGCAGCAAAAGACATGTCTTACATCGAATAAGAGGAGAGAATGATCAAATTATAATTTTTTTAATTTCAAATTATATAAAAAAAAAAATATGAATAGGGGAAAAAATAGCATGTTATAACTATATCAGGTAACCCTTAGAAAATAAGCTTTAATGTTCTCTCTCCTGTTTTCCTGCTGTTTTCCTGATCAGTGAGTGTTTGTTTTGCCAAAGTACTTTTTATCGTACTCCGCCGTATCGAACATATCCGCAAAATAAGGCCTCCCTCCCACTGTTATCGTATCATCTCTATTTGTAGCCGAATCAATAGGCAGGACAACGGAACAATAACACAACCATTACACGTAATCAACGTAGCAAACACATCTCGCGATAACGAGATCTGATGATTTGAGAATTTAAACATGGCCGCTTTGACGCATATGATTTTTACGCCGACAAAATTGAAAATGATAATGGTAAATTATAACACGACAAAAAATTACTGATTTTTAGATAAAAAATTCATTTACGACAGAATTAAATTGTAAAACGTATATTGAAATTGAAATGTTTCTGATAAAAATGTCTATCTTAGATATGCGTTATAGTTCCGAGGTCATGGTAACATTTAAACACATAACCTGACTAGACTTTTTTGTCCCGACCCTGTAATATTGTTAAGTATAACACTAGAGGTACATTAAACAGGATCAGATAACTGACAAGTCGATACAAACAACGATTAGAGAACCCACTATAACACACTAACACCTTGTACAATTACTTCCTGTCGCTACATTACAACAATTGGACATTTAGTTTCGTATCTAACTCTGGCTTATTTGATTTTAGCGATATTTTACTACCTCAGACATTTAGTTTCGTATCTAACTCTGGCTTATTTGATTTTAAATATTTTACTACCTCAGACATTTAGTTTCGTATCTAACTCTGGCTTATTTGATTTTAGCGATATTTTACTACCTCAGACATTTAGTTTCGTATCTAACCCTGCCTTATTTGATTTTAGCGATATTTTACTACCTCAGACATTTAGTTTCGTATCTAACTCTGGCTTATTTGATTTTAGCGATATTTTACTACATCAGACATTTAGTTTCGTATCTAACTCTGACTTATTTGATTTTAGCGATATTTTACTACATCAGACATTTAGTTTCGTATCTAACCCTGCCTTATTTGATTTTAGGGATATTTTACTAGCTAAGACATTTAGTTTCGTATCTAACTCTGGCTTATTTGATTTTAGCGATATTTTACTACCTCAGACATTTAGTTTCGTATCTAACTCTGGCTTATTTGATTTTAGCGATATTTTACTACATCAGACATTTAGTTTCGTATCTAACTCTGACTTATTTGATTTTAATTTTTACTACATCAGACATTTATTTCACCACCCTGCCTTATTTGATTAAAAAAATTTTAACTGCCATGGACATTTAGTTTCGTATCTAAAACTGACATATTTAATTTTAGTGATATTTCACCACCTAGGACATTTAGTTTCGTATCTAACTCTGGCTTATTTGATTAAAAAAATTTAAACTGCCATCGACATTTAGTTTCGTATGTTACTTTATTTGATTTAAGCGATTTACTGCTGTGTGAAAGAAGTTAAAAATCTGAAACTTCTTTGTCGTGTGGAAGCTGGTGAATAGTCAACATGAAGACTGTTGTTGTAAATGATAGGTTTCGTTCGAGGAATAGACAAAGTTTGTAATATGTTTTCCCCAATAACCAGAGAGCAACAGCTTATTTGTACAGCATTTAAAGTTACTTATAAGCAAACATCACTTAACGATGGTACACTCAAAATCCAAGGGTCCTGTTTTCATATACTTATATAATTTAACATCGTCGAAATTGGATGTCGTCAAAAGATCTAAAAAAACATTTTCCTCTTCATGAATCAGGACACATAAATAACGATCTGAAGACGGGAGTCTGTGTAAAATGGTCTGATTCGCTAGGCTGTATAGAAGCAAGAAAACAAATCACCGAGAGAACTGCCATCTCGGTTTGTTGGTACATTAATCTAGATTTTCATATTCTTGCAAAGTACAAACGATTTCCATAAAAAATAACAAGTGCAAATCGGACTTGAAATACTTAGAGCCGCGGTCGACCATAAAATAAAAAAGCCATGCGCTTCATATTAATTACAGATTTACGTATGCGTTTAATTTGTTATTATCCGGATCCCTAGACCAGACAGCCAGACAACTCTGTGATCTCGCGGCCATAAAACCCGACATAAAACAGTGACGTATTGATTCTTTGTGCAGGTGATCTTATTACGTAACCTGGCCGTGCACTTTTGCAGCTTCAGACACCAGCTGTGTGGGATTTATTGACTTTTTTCATGTAAAATATCTGCCCTGTCAGAAACAGCATTCAAGTTTACATGGACTAAGAATCTATGATATACCCGAGTTAGAAAAGTTGTCATTCACGATAAAAAAACCCAAAGACTTTCGTTCAGAGTAAATTACTGAAATTGCATCTTCAAATAAATTCATATTTTATTCACATTTTCTTAGGATGATATACTTAAAGGATTTTTTTATTAAATGATGCGGATTTAAGGAGCATTTTGTTATGATTATTGTTTTTTGTTTTGTTTTAAGGGAGTATGCTACTTTTTTCCAAACTTTACATTACAATCTATGCTAAACTTATGACGCAGTTTAATCATTTCCCATTCTATGATTTATTCAGTCTAGGTAATCAAGTGATAACACTTCATGAATTTTCATGACGTTTCACATCTTGATTGCATTTATTTACAAATTGTGACTCTGTTTCTAAACTTTATAGGATGTAGCATACATCCGATACGTTCAGATCATTTTGAAAATTATATTAGATCAATGGATTTTACATACAACGTACAACAGTCCTTGCTGAAAATTTAGTGTGATTTGATAAGATACAATGGATAGCTAGAGTAACTGTGGTAGAACAGAGGCATCACACACATAATTAACCCGCGAGGTCTCTGAATGTGTGATATCCGACAAGTCAACATCACGACAACCCTAAAGTTTCTCACAGTATAAATAATCACCAGATCAGTGTCTCCGAGATGTTATCAGTGTATGTGTAACTATATCACGTAAATCAAGATCTCCCCTGGTCCGGATCAACAGTAATTTAAAATTACTGACTTTTAAATATGTATGAAACGATACCTTGTCGAGCTGACTTTTGTTGCGTGGGTCGTGTAATCTTTCTTGTGAAAATCACAATGATTATGTGTAAGATATGAACACAAACCCGTCAGTGATCTTCATTTAAAACTTTGTAGTGGTTATTTAGAAAAGTTGTTTACCAAACACAACAAAGGAGTAATGAAAACAAAGAAATAAAATTTCAGTTTGATTTTTATATTTTAATAGCGTTAACTTCGGTCGCATTATTGCAATTAATATAAAACATTAATATATTACATGTATTTGTATACATAAATTCTCACATCTTCTATTAAGCTTTTTTTCCCTTCCCTTACATACATCCATACAATCACTACATGTTTTCTTTTTCGAACACATTTAATATTCTATTTCTCCAAAGTCATTCTCACTATCGTTATTATCCATTTAAATACAAACAATCCTGTAAGCACAACACCATGGTTAGACGTGTCACTTTGAGTGTAAACTAACAATACTTCTGAAGGAACATGTAGACATTTTTATATGTCTTCGGTATTTTCTGCTGCTATTCTTCACCGTATGTACATGAGTGATGGTTTGAATACTTTTCACTTTTAACCACAGAAGCACTTCAGAAGTTAATTTGAAAACGTAAAATAAAGTACTCCACACATGTTCATATCAATTTTCGTTGTCTGCATTAGTATAAAATAGATTTTAAAGTGTGGCTAATACAGCATTCCTTGCCAAAAATTAATTCAATTTTCGAGTTAAGTCTTTGATTTCAGTCCAAAACACAAATATCGGTATTTTCCACTGTTTCTTGCGTAACCGGGTTACAGCACGTGCTACCACCGGCCACACAACACACGTCACACGTGCATGTGCCAGCCGAAAGAAGCACGTGCAATGAAATTGGCCACACATCACACGCGAATCATGTGCTGTTTGTCATAGTTCATACGAATCAGATCCCCCAAAAGTCTATTTCCGTTTCTCGTTTTAGATCGGTTCGGATCCTGGTAAATCACTGTTTGTTGGGGAGGGAGAAGTAATGGCTTTCGGTACACTCGCACGTTATCACATTCGGAGTCTTTCTTACTTGATGGTAAAAGATACATTTCTGTATCTTCAAGTATTGAGTTCTTCACCACAGTTGTGTGTTTGTGTTTAGTTTTCTGTGATCTGTGTCTGTGATGATGTCTGTGAGATTCTGTTTTCGAGGATGTCTGTGCATGCGCAGAATCATCCGAACAACTGTTTCCATTTCTTTCCTCTGAATATTCATAATATCCACTACTATCGTCAGATTCTGATTGGTCAGCAAGTACATCCGGGTCAGACACTTCCCCACTACTAAGTGTGGGTTGTGACGACCGTCCGGACAGACTAGACACCGTTCGGACAGATTCTACATCCGAACCCCTTTCCAATGTATTTGAACTATCTTCCGTCACATTTCCACTATTACTGAGCGAGTGGATGATGTTCCGAACCTGCTCCTTGAGAATCAAGTTCTGTTGTACTTTGTCTAAATAAGATCGATATTCCTCCGCGATATCAGATTCACTTGATGTACTCATATCATACTCACAACAAGTATCATTTCCGTCCATATCCGGTCCAGATGACCTGGAAGCAATTGAACTTTTGGCAGAACTAGAGCTACACTCACTCGAGTTCGATGTGACGTAGGAGCGCGTGCTGTCGTGACGTTGTGTCTGGGAGTTGGATTTTTTATCACATGACTTTTTGCGACTCACGAACCGGACGGAACACGCACTCTCACTACTATCCCACGGCTCGCTATAATTTGACTCAGGCTTTTGAAACTGATTCCGACACTTGCACGTGCATCTAAATCTGTCCGAAACAATGGACTTATCACATACACAATCAATGCATTCTGATTTTTCTTCTGTCTTACACACAATGGGCACAACCATGTACGGTCCCTCTGTTGAGTTGACATTTGACCTTGTGGGTAAAAATCCATCCGCTGAATCATTTATGTTTGACCTATTTTGTATATGTCCTTCCGCCGAAATCCGATTAGATTGATTGTGTAAGGAAATCGAACTCCAGGAGTTAGCGTTCTGATTATAAACACCATTGTTTTGTGTTTGTGAATCTTTGTTATCTACTACAGATAAAGGTAAGTCTGGAAGATCAACTATTTCCTCGTAAATATGATAAGCAGGGTCACTGTTCACTGCCGGAACACCATTGATGGGAACTCTCGTTGGAACTCTCACACATGTAACTGGCCTCACGATATCTGTCGGTATTCTCATGCATGTCCCGTTGTTGAATCCGTAATCAGCGAGAAACTCGGGGAGAGCATCGGTTGGATTCCTGGTTTGGCCTTTTCTAAATCCATAATCGTCTTCAAGGGATTTCTCTTTGTCGCTCGACTTTCTGGGCTGTTTTTTCTTATCTTTTAACCAGCGAAACATCTTTGTGACTTGGAAACCTGGAAAGATAAATTAAAAATTAAAATCATTAATAATATTTTTACCGTGAAGATTATGATGACTATAAAATATGTTTCAACTCCTTAATCAAAAGTAAATAAACAGACAAATAATCACACAGAACTACAAATAATTCCCAGTCGTAAGAGTTACAGGTAACGTTAATCAGTCGGTAACAAGTCAGAACGTTTACCTGTTAGTTCATACATATCGACTACCGAGTGTTAGCCTCGAGTGTGTACACCCGTCCGATGTGCTCGCTCACTACAGCCCGACTGGTCTTACCTGGTCTCCAACAACGTATTTATACAGCACGTTACTGAATAGCGATAACCTACTCGCTTACTTAATTAGAGGTCGAGACTACACCTCGCATTGTGGAGATGAAAATCTAGTCTAGTGCTGTTCCTTCATCTGTAAAATACTGGGTGACAATGGCGGAGACAATATCTGTACCGTGTAGTAGAGTACTGTGCTGCACTGAAAGCATTGTGCTACCACTAATTTCTACCAAGAACATCTATTTATTTTGAAACATTATCTGTCTGCTTCTAAATTCAAAGATTTGTCAGCTTAAGTATCTTCTGTAAAATTAATACATGCTCTGAGATTTTTTTATTTTTAACGTCTTACGTGCGATAAATATCGCTTAAAACTAAATTACTACAAATATTTGTAAAAGTCGAACATTCAATTATATTTATCATTTATAACTTATAAAAACTAAAGACATGATTGTGTATGTGTATTGTGTGGTGAGTGAAAAAGGACTACCACAGTTTGCTGACGACTCAATCTTATTCATGCTACTATCCAGGGTTTCTTTGATCGTTTGGCTGGTGTGACACAAGGATGGATGATTTCTCGTCGCCTTTTGTGTAAAACACGAATGACTTTTTAAATGTAAAGCATGAGCAGGGTATTAAGCCCTGAAATAGTCGGGTAGGAGTGTGTGCAGTGATTCGTCAGATGTGGTTAACGAGATTTTCACAACAAAATTACTTTATTAGTTCAGACTCAAAACTCTCGATCATTTATATAACCTACGTTTATAAAGCTATTCAATATAATGACTTTTTATCTGAATTAAAATTTCATCGAAAATGTAGATAAACGTGTCTGTGCGCTCTACTGTTGGTTTTACCTTCTGAACAAATATACGGTTTACAGTACAATATCTGAAATTCGCTACGCAAACGTTTTCCTTTGGTATAAAACTACTGATAAAGTTTCCTTTTATCTCGGACTCAAAGATGAGGAAATTATTTCCTTAAATCATTTGCGATGACAATGCAGATTCTTAATCAAGAATATAAGGATAGGGGTAAAACCCGTTATAGGATGGAAAAACCGGGCATCGGTCACAATAATTTTTCCTCTTTTACTCGGAAATGGTTTTTAAATTTGTGGCCTAGTTATGTCGAAAATGGGTAAACAGCTGGATTTGAATTGATTATGATTAAGACTTAACTGAAATGAGTCGCTATGAAAAGTTTAACATACAACATAAATACGAGAAAATCTCTATATAATTCTCTACACTGATCACCACGTCCGTCTATCCCTCGGAGACCGGAAGTATCGCTGTTGTATCTATTTAAATGGACGGCGGGAATATCGGACGGACCGTAAAAGTGCAAATATCCTATAACGATAAAACACCATTCTACAAACAATGGCTCGTTTAAATAATGGTGTCCTTTAATTGTCAATACGGCACCCTTAGGTCGTATACACTGAAAGCGATCAAAATCAGCATTTAAGGGATAACGGCCAGCAACAATGGCTGGGTATCTGATCAGTTGGAGACCGTCGACCCGGAAATATCTGATGATGGGGGATTTGAGGGTCGATAACACACTAATATGACCTCTTCTTCTGTACAATGGCGAGCCCTTTAAGGCAGAATCGGGTGTAGGCACTTCTTGTATTGTTGGGTACAGTACAGCAGTTCCCACGAAATTTATCTATGGACTACAGGGGCAAAAAAATCCAAAAGTATACGTTTCCGGCTTAAATGGTATTCATACACTGTAAGTCTGTGTCGTATGCGAGAGAGCCTTTGTATTCCGTAGTCTTACTGGCCGGATCTCCGAACACAATACATATGTATAATCTAGACAACCTATTGACAAAAGGGAATCTGAGACCGAGGGACCAGGGCGTTAGCCATATCACTTCAAACACAATCAAGTACATATTAGTTAGGTTTTTTGGTGTAATAATGCGAATTATTTTTTAAAAAATGTAATTTTTATCGACTCAAAAGTACAAAACGACTATTATACCAATTGCCCAGACACTGATACAAAGAAAAATGTCAACTACGCAAGGCTCGGTTTTTAATTTTGAGAAATCTTTTTGTTTATTTTTAAAATATCAAATATTATTTCATGTCTTTTTTCTTTTTGTTACATTTAAAGATGCGTGTAAGGTGATGATATCTGAACTGTATTTAGTTGTCAGGTGCGTCTTTAAGACGTCTGGCTAGATATACTGGCGCTAACTGTTACCACGGAAGTATACATTTTCACAAATTCGTCGTCTACTCATAAAAGGATACATATTGTACAACATTGCGTATTTAGCTCTAACGAGACAGAAAACGCAGAAAGACTTGAGTAACAGACAAAAGCACGTGACTGACGCCTTATAACTTCCTACATGTATGACCAGGAAAAAAACTATGTCGTAATCTGTCATTCTGACAGAAGGTTGAACGGGTGGGGTGTCTCAATGTGGTTTTTCACCTGGCGAATTTTACCTGTATAGCGAACTTACCTGACAAGATATATATTTTTTTCTTGTCCTTTACCTGTAAAAACTGTGATCTGACAAGTCATATATTTCACACACGTCAGGGCAGATTTACAGGAAGAGAGATAAGATATCTTGACATTGGGTCATCTGTCATTGGCCCAATTATACTGCCCAACTGACCAACAAAAATTATGGCCATAGTTTTTTTTTTACCAAACACGTAACTCATTGACCTTAACTGGCCTTCAAAAACCTAGCCAACAACTACCAGTAAATGCCCAGGCTAAATTTTCTGTACATGTTTTATTTCGCAAGATTTAGAATCCAGAAAAATTGTTTGTCCTGAACAAACTTTTGAATAACCACATAATGTCCAGGCTACCGAAAACACAGGTGATCCATTTTCATGTCATGTTCGCTTGTACAAACGAAACCAATGTATACATGGAAAACTGTCCGTCAAATTTAGACAAGAAAATCACGCCGTATGTGACTACTTACACACTACTACAGTGAAACAGTGGTACAATGGGGTACCAGGTCCCCTCACACCCCTCCCCGTCGGATCAATATCGAAGGATTAACCATTACAAAGGGTAACCGGATTCCAAGTTCGTCCCACCGATACATTTTTATGCAAACTGGTTTCTTACGAAGTAGGCAGATATTGGTATGAAGGTCTAATTAATAGAAACGTTATTCCGGCTACCGGTGGGCACACAATGACATACTACCACCAAGGACAATAAAAGGTTTGGTGTTAAAGACAGTGACGGATCGTGCACGTGTTTCGAACGTTGACACGTGCACTGTGTAATTTTACATTTAAATGATTTATGAAAAACTGTCGTTAAATACTTTTTTGGATAACTGTGTTTCTATTGCCATGTGTTAGACACAAGCTTTTTCTGTGCCTAGTTGAATCGTACTTGAATGTGGGGTAGCATTTATGAATATATTTATCATAAGTAAACAAACTCATTTACTCTACTCAAGTCATAGACACCAAATTGAACGTAAGTGATGTCTCGGTAGTTTTATAGTACTTTTAAACTATCAAATTCCGGATCGTGAGCAGTAAATCGTTTCCTGCATTAGTATGTTTTAGCCATTTCCTGCAATGTTGATAATTCAATCATGAAGACATTTGAATCACTAAAAATGAAGTCATTAAATGAGTCTCGGGGATGTCACGGGATATCAGAAAGTTGATAATGATTCTAAAGAAGGGACGAGCACAGAAAAATGTAAACCAGCTTATGATAACCTTTTTTTTGTATATGCGAGAGAAGGACTGATAAGATAGAAGGTTCGTACCAATCCGTGCACAATACGAGTCCCTTACACACATTTACATCCTGTACTTAAACATATTCCCAGAAGCTTTAATGAATTAAAAAGTTTTATTTATAAAATGTATTTTCTTTCGTAAAGTGACCAGGATATCCCCGGGGTGTTTATAGAATTAGACAGTAGGTATACTGGTTAAGTCTGCATACCTCGAGGTGACTGTGAGATGGTTATATATTAGTTGTGTCGGTTTATTTATTTTTTCTTCCCATCTGATAATTTCCATTTTATAAACATTTCATTTCTAAATTGTGGCCGTAGGTGTTAGAGCGTTATCATATATATGCTTCCGAATTTCACCTGTTCCATTTTAAAGATTCACCCCGCGGGCACGCGTTTGATGTATTTTGAAAACTTTTCTTATCCTTTGAATCCGTCATTGTTTAAAAAGTGAAGTTATTTCCGACAGCCCGAGGAAACTATTGTTTCTTTAACTTCCATTTATTTATATTAATCATTGAAATCGTGATGTCATTTTACGCAATTTGAATATTATCTTTCAAATAATTTTATCAAGTATTCCTCTTAAATAGCCAAAAGCTAAATAGTTACATTTATTCAGGTCTTCAGTATACAAACGATAATACACATATTAAGGACAGGTTATCTTCAATAGTGTTTATATAAAGTGTATGCTTAAAAAAAAAAGAAAATTTTAAAGAATGTTAATTTTAAGTTAATGTTTGGTCTTTATCACACATGCGTAATAAGGTTGCTGACCCTACAGGTGAGAGACAGCGTGGCACGTGATGTGCTAGAATTTACACCCATCGTCGATCTGTCAAGACTCAAGTGACGCGGATGACACCGGATATGAATTACAGGCACGCGAGCGTTTGGTTTTATTGTTTTTTGTGGCAGATATAAAGGGCAATAACTATAATTATGGAGATGATATATATAATGGTAATAATAAACAATTATCCCACGAACAGAGAACTATTGTCTGCCTGTCTAAATATTTATTTATTTATTTGATTTCTTTTACTTATCAATTTAAGTAATACATCGTTATTGACAGGTAAAAAAAGAAAGAAACAAATTCTATTAATATTTAAGAGTACATTAACGAAGATGAAATTTTAAATGGAATTAAAAGAATAATTAAAATGTATGTCTAAATGTCAAAACGACGCCGGAGCCTGACTCCGGTCTGACTAGATGTCAAAATGTTCACTTTTAATTAATTAACCTTGTACTTTCTCACAATTAATCATTTGCCTTCCACACAATACATCGCTACTTTAAATAGGTAATTGAAAAATTGAGATGATTTTAATTTCCGGAGTTTTGTTACGGGTCCATGCTCTTGTTTAGTATGCACTTTGTGAAACTTCTCTCTATGACGCAAGACCCCCTTCCTGCTAACAATTATTTATCAAGTGCATTGGAAATCTAAACCCATTAAATTGTCCAGCTCTCAGTTACCTTCCTCTTTTTAAAGTACATGTGCCATTATATACATGCATCACGTAAATCTTGTGTACAGGATTTAACAAGTCTTAAAATATAAATAAATTCAATGTTTTTATAAGCAGTGTTTCTGTAGGTTTAATATATAGATACTATCAGGGACCTTTGGATTTTAGTGAGAAGACAGTACAGACAACCAATTTTACTATTTCCTAATACCAACTGCTTTGTAAATAAGGTTTAATTTCGATAGCTGAGATTATGCTAATGAATCAAGCGCCTAATTACGGTATTTGTTTTAAAATTTCCTGAAGTTGTAAGTATAATTTGAAACGTTTACACCTCCACGTGTGTAATGTCCACTTCACATAAACACATTGCATAGAAAATAGATATGGAAAAAATAACATACTTAAAACAGAATAAATAAAATGATTAGCCATGACATAAATATTTAAATTAAGTAAGGAATGTTCGCTTACCACTTTTCCTATTTCTTGCCATGTTGATTTTGCAAAGAAAAACAGAATTTTATAATCCTTGATGAATCGCCCCCAATGTCATAAAATATCACATACAGGAGCTGGTGTGTTAACTAGACCGGTCTGAGATAGAATGATGGAGCACCTTCTATCTCTAAATTTATATATACATAATAACGGCCATAAAACTGTGTTCAGCTGTCAGTCACATCCGTGTCAAACACGCTCTAGTACCAGACCCCGAAGCATTGTCTATGTCTCTCAGACTCTTACTGCTACAGAAACTAACCAAGCGCCTTGACGATTGGGTTTTGTAAGTCTGGAGTGCACCATATGCAATTTGATGTCTAGCGCTCTGAAGAGTGTGCCCTGGGGTCAGAATAAATTTAACAGACTGTTTTAATTGAAGGCAACAAGTTCTAATGGAATCTGTTTACCCCCGAGGTAAAACCATAGGACAAGAGTGCGCCATTTCTAATATTTACAATCTGTGTGGAAGAATTTGACCTTAAGGGGGACATAATTAGAAATTTTCCTGATGTCCAACGGGCTTAAAACAATATTGGAACGAGGTGCGAACCAGTCCGCGTACAAGTGTCACAGCTGATAGCATCAAGATCGATAATGACATATTTTGTAGTACAATAGTCTTGTCGTAATATTCATTATATATAACATATTTTGACAATTGTGACACAGTTGTCGTCTTAAATTAAGACATTTAGAAGAAATAACATTGAACCTGACCTATACAACATCATATACATTCGAAGTGAAATTTGACATTCCGAACACGTGCCAGGTGTATAGAGGTAAACCACTAAAGTTTCAACATGACAGCTTTCCTGTCGAAGGAAACTAAACAGACATAAGAAAGCAGTCAAAAATTTTTTCTCTAATTTTTTCAAACCAAAAATATACATAAATAATATCCAATAATTCTTTACAACACTTTTCAAACATCGTATGACACTTTTCAAACATCGTATGACACTTTACAAAGTTTTTTAAAGTTCATTTTAGATCAAATTTGCACCATGGAGATTGGGATGATGGTTTGTACTCAACACTTACATAAAGTAACACGTTGCATGATAAGTTATATTTAGGCTCATGCTACTAAGTGGCCATGATATGTAATTTTTGAACTGACAGTTTTACGTGGTAGTGATGACCTTATGGACAACCAAGCAGAACAACAATTTTTTTCCTGTACCAAACACAACGTCGAAGAGTTGAACTGACATATATCGATCAGACAAAAGCCGGATGCTTCACGTCAAACACTTACAAAACTGCAAAGCAAGAAAAATACGATATGTTGTTTACGAATGAAATTTAAATGACAAAAACATATATCTTGTCAGTATGTCTGACAGTGCGGTGTGTAATATGATATTTATAGAAAACCGTTTTCGTATTTGTTTTGTATTTTCCGAATAAACTGTAAAAAAATCAATGAAAACATTTTTTCATCACTAGATCGCGTTACAATACTACGCTTATAAAACCTTTTAACACCTACACAGGACATTACTACATACGATCTTATTCTCATCACATTGTACAATACACCACGAAATTTTTTTTTATTTGTTTTGTACTGCCGGACTAATCCTATTTAAGAGATGACGTCAGTCGGAGCTGTGACGGATGCCAGACACAGCTGCTGTCTGAGAGATGATAAGACCAGCTCATAATACCATTACATAACGTGATATCTGTAACATCTGGTTCATATAAAACTGGTAATAGATACCACTAGTTCTAGAATTTTGTTTTTTTATATCTGTTGTAAACTAATTCTTTAAGAGTGTATACTCTCTTTTCGAAATCCCAAAAAATAATGCTGAAAATCATTAATCAAATGCTTCTAAGATTTACTACTTTTCAAAATCCGATAATTCCCAAAAAGAGCCATCCAATTTAGAAGCAAACTAGTCTTATCATAAACGTTTTCATGCCTGAATAATTTCGTTTCGTTTACATTTAAGAATCATTATTCAACCAACACTCCAGACCAATCCCATACAACGCAGACAGTTACGCCATAAGTTATCACGAGAAAATTACGTCGTTGTTTCATGACCTGATTCTCACTTATCAATGACGTAACAACCAATACCTCCACACAAGAGCAGATAACTCTGTATTACTAAAAGACGGGATAACAAACGACAAAACCAGAGCGGCGATAAGATTATAAAACTCTTAGTGTCATTTTTATTTTTTTTTTATTTTTTCCCTGATCCAGCCTAACCAGAACTCCAGAGCGATAACACAGGTATTTCATCATGTCGCTTTATCCTATATAATGTATTGACTGTTATATTGTGATTGACTATGAAATAACGAGTAGGCGAAGACGTATCTAACAATCCCTACAAAGATTGTAGAAAAGAAAACGCTGCCATGACCTTTATAAAAATCCCTGATAATTCCAAACAAATAGACAACAAATTGTTGAGGTAAGTCCGAAAGATTACCTGACTTCCGGTTAAGAGAATTCGAGGAGCATCTACAATCTGGATTTCAAGAATAAAGCACAGCCATAAGTTTGAAGTGTTGATTTAGATCAACAGAGATAAATACAGTCTTTTTATGGTCGTCAAAATGGAGAAAGCCGATTTACATGTGTATGCGCTATCACCGGGCACCACATATCTGAGAAGTCGAACTGTTTGAACACAGCACTGAGGATTTGTTATATGGCAACTGCTCTTTTATTGTCTATTTTTAAGTATATTTCGTTTCGTTTTTTCTTACATTTTGCAAATTGACTTACATTACATAACACCAGTAATGGTGTGACGTCACTTCGGCACTGATAAGTTGGGAAAGACTCCTTTTATCATAAAAGAGAACTACTTGCTAAAGTTCAGTGTTAGTTACATAAATTATCCTCTATTTCCTGGTGTCCAACTTCGCGAGTTTCAATTTCGCATGATAATGATAATACTCCACTATCTATGTTAGAAGTGTAGTGTTCTTACATGCGCGAGTTCATATTAAACACAACACATCACAGCAACTTCCTGTTTTTTGGTGGGTTTTTTTCTCATTTTGGCGATTTCCCCACGCAATGATAACGAAGACAGTTAAAGGCACTACCGGACCATCATTCCGAAACAAAACATATGTTATTTCTTTATCGAAATACTTATTTTCCGTCCACAATTTAAGATATGTTATCAAAGGTAGTTGTTTTTATTTTTAAAAAATGGAATGAGGGGGAGAGGGGTTTGGCTAAATAATTCGTGATATAAAATTGTCAGCATTTTTCAACTTTTACGCAGACTGGAAATATATTTCCTACAAGAGAAAAAAAAATTATACATTTTATTCACAGGCAAATTTCATTGAAACCGAATCAAAATACTTTTCAGATTGTGTAAATCTTCTCTGAAACCATTTCGTTACAATTTAGGCCGCAGTAAAAATGTCTTCCCTGAAATCTTAAGTGTAGTAGTTTCACACAGCGCTTATCAATGTGTGTCGGTTTTAGAGGTGAAGAGATCACAGACTAAAGACGTACGGCGTAACCAGTTGATTCGGAAAGATTTCGACAGGTAAAAACTGTCAGGTAAGTAACGTGTCGCCTGTCATACACAGGTGTCCAAATATGCAGATGTGTAAAACGAGGGGAGTGGAGACTGAGAGGATTAAAGTAAAGCAGGGATGACGGGTTTTCTGAAGGCAAAAATTAACAAGTGTCGTTCCTAATTAGGAGTATAATATTATTCATTTACATATATATTAACACTGGATATTCTGAAAATTTAAAAACGTAATTGTCCTTAAATTGTTAGTATCAAATTTATTTAATGGAGAGGAATGGGGCGACTGGTAAAGAAAAGGGACTGTACTTTTGACAGGAATATCTTTGACTGCACATGCGCATGTCGATTAATCCAATCCATGCACAATGCTGCACTATATAGATTTGTGATCTATGCCATGAATAAAATATGACCCGACTGATCTTGGTATTCATTGATTCAGTCTGTTGACACCACGCGTGATTTATGATTTTTTTCAACACGTGCATTTGCAAGTGAGATATTTAGCACGTCACTATTCAAACTACATATAAAGCATAGGATTTAAATCTTATTTACATCTCGTCAGCTTAAAAAACTATTCTATCAGTTATGTACGAGGTTTCATGATATAAGTCAAAGGAGATAAGAAGATTATACAATATCTATTAGTAAAGTCGAGCCTCGTTACCTCGAAGTCGTGTAACTCAAAAACCCAGTTTAATTCGAAGTTATTCGTCAGTTCGAATGAATTTTCACACCGAGGATTCAATAACTCGAACACTCGGATAACTCGATATATGTATATTATATACTTAGGCATTGTGAGAAAAGGAAAGGTGCGTCTCTCCAATCTGAAGTCAAAAATGTGCATTGTCATTGCTTAAGTTAGCAGGAATCGTATGTCATTTTTTTAAAAATGCTGTGTTTTAATTTTTTCCAAATAGTAGCATCAGATGCATTTCAATACAACTAGGTATGAGTAGACATATGTGAACACAAGCTCAAGCCTACTTTACCTGTGTTACACCAATATCTGTGTATCGTAAATGTATCTACATATTAAGCCCACTTAAGGAGGCTGTAATTATTTTCTCCAGTGACGTTATCTAGATAGGTTTGAAAGCCTATATATTTTCACATTCACAGGTGTCCGCTATCTCAGGAGATGAGAAGAAGAGGAGTCAATGATTTTATAGATGAAACACATTATGAGATCACCCGGGAAATAACCATAGAAAATGATGAAAATTTGCCAGTTTTCACGCCTCTGTGAACATTGACAATGACGGGACGAGACCGTAACTGGTGCATATATATGTTATAAAGTATCTACTCATAAAATCGTAAACGTCGGCGTGTAATCCACTTAAGACTTTTCCTATAAAATCATTCATGTACACACTGCCCGCGGACATTAGACAGTGCGGGGGTCTCGAAACCTCGGATCCAGATGCGTAGTGATACAAGGATAGGAAATGAT